TGGAGCTTTCGACGAAACACTTCACGTCTTGGGGTCGAACGATGTCAAGCCGCCGCCGGCATGCGGCTCGTTTTCGGGACCCGCGGCCGTGGCCGCGGCAAGCGCTCGCCGCAAAGGTAAAGAAGTGAGCTCGAGGTGCAGGTACTCTCAGTTACCCAAAGCCGACCTTTTAACCTTTTGGTGTTCCAATTTTGGTCTATCTTTAGTAAAGGCCCCAGAAGGTTAACCTTTTAGTTCCAGGTCCTTTGGGCAACTGAGTGCTAGGTCCCCCAGTAGCAGGGTTGTGGGATCACTCAGGGTTTCTCCAACCACTTCTGTGATGCTTTTGGGAATCTCACCCTTTAAATGGGGGGTGTTAGTCTTTGGGGTTAGGCCCTTTTTGTTGTATCACAGAAGTGGCCATTTCCCACAGCCCTGCCCAGTAGTGCCCATAGGTGTCCTTTTTGGTTGGTTTGCTTAACAAAAATGAGGGCCCTGGTTTAGATGGGGATGATTCCATTTTCAGGGCCATCCATTTTTCCAAAAGGCCACCTATGGTAGTGCCCTTTTGCCTTTGTTTGGGGGAGGGTTTTCGTCTATTTAAAATAAACTACAGAAAAAATGGTACCAACTTATTCTAACCTCTCAACTGACTGGACCTAGCGAATCGCGTATGTGTGAAGTGGGGATTTGGACGTTCAGATTGTAGTTTTCCTGTGTGGGTATTGTTTAAACCAACCAGAAAAAGGGTAACTACCCTCAAAACAAGCGCACACCTTCCCCAAAACTGCTCCTGCACACCTTGGGAGGGTGCGTTTGGTGGACCAAAAACAGAACGGGCAAGCGGCACTTTGCACCTGACGTGCCCGTGTGTTTGCAATTTTGGGTGCCCCAAGGGAAGGTCCGGAAGGTCCTGGAATTGCGCCAAATGTTGAACTAAACCCTAAAGTGAATAAGCCCAGGTGTCCCTGTATCAGCCTGAAACCTATTCTCCGGAACTAAAAGCTGCCCCAAACCACCCCTTATCGCCTATAGGCCCCGTAGGGCTGCGGGATCACTCAGGGTTTATCCAACCACTTCTGTGATGCAAGGGAATCTCACCCTTTGTATTGGGTGTTAGTCTTTGGGAAGCCCTTTATGTTGTATCACAGTGTTCATTTCCCACAGGCCTGCTTAAGAATTTGTTTCCAGTGTTGGTTATGGGAATCTATCACTACTGGGAGTAGTGTTTCCTCATCTCCAGGTTCCCCGCCCCGGAAACCCCTGGAACCGAATCTGCAGAACCCTCTCCAAAAGCTGCCCCAAACCAGACCCCATACTACGGTCCTTTCTCACCCCTTGTTTGGGGAAGAATTTCCCTACAGAGAAAAAAACAGGAAGATCGGGTGAAATTCCAGCCTCTCAACTCTGGAGGACCTAGCCATAGCTTTGAGCCGTGGGAAGCTGAACGAAACTCGGACGATTTCAGTGCCAGGCGTGCTGTACTGGATCGGGTCATTGCCCCCACCCGGGCGGCTGTGCAGCGCCGGGGCCCCATGGTCAGACAGATTTTGGTGTGCGTGGGCGTGTGCTTCTTGGAGGGTACCGGTCCCCAGACATTGGGGTGGTTTAAAGGTTTTGCTGGTTTTTTTCCAGGTGGTTGGTTGAGTCAGGTGGTTTTAAGTTTGTTGTTATTCCTGGGTGGATTTGAGTCATGGTGCAGTGCCCCTTTTTTGGGGCAGGTTTAAAGGCAAGACAAGCCGAAGCCCCTTTTCGGTCCCGGTCCAAATCCCTTTCACGAGCCATATCTAGACAACCGAACATTGAGGAATAATATTTGGAGAGTCCTTATTTCATTTGATGTCCAATTTGGATGTGTCTTCTTCGGGCATCCCCAAAATGATGGTTGTCCTCGTGGTTTCCCTTCAATACACAAAACAACAGATGCCCCTTAAAAACAGGTTACTTGGAACCCTTTTGGATTGATAACCCCCTGTTGATCAACATCGGGAATCGGCTGTCCCAATTTCCATTCAGCATCCTTCACTTTTCGGGGGAAGACCCGAAAAAAGAAAAAAAACAAAAACATGCGCCACGATGTATCCAGGGTTGGCATTAACATCACGGAGCCTCAAAACGTCCTATTTGGGTTTCCTGTTCCTTTTCCTTTGTCCCTTTGGCTTCTGTTTCGTCTAGGTCCCCAGCAGTGCCCTTTTACCAGAGGGTCTTCGTCTACTAAAATAGGCTACAGGAAAAAAATGGGTACTCTTATTCTAACCTCTCTACTGGAGCATACGAGAATACTCGCCCACAAAATAACATGGAACCCGAGTTTCGTCTACAAATGCGTGGGTCTTTTTGGGTTCCTTCCCTCCATGAATCTGAGTGCGGGAGAGGAGTTCGCCGCTTTGCTGGACACGGGTGCCTCTTTTTCCCAGTCAAGCGAAGGGAAGGGAATTCTAGCATCCCGGCCTTGGACGCAAACCCCCTTTGCTCGGGGCTATTTTTTTCCCTGTTTTGGTTGGGAGGGTTCCGAACCCTACTAAAATAGACGAAACCGAAAAAGTTGGTACCAACTTATTCGAACCTCTCAAATCTGGACCTAGCAGGCCCTCCTGGCCCTGGATCTAAAGGCGGTTTGCCTGGCTTGCGGGTTCAGGGGCTTGAGGCCTGGCGGGTGGGTTACAAAGGGCACCCTTTCGCTGGGGGACCCTTTCGGCTGTGAGGACCCCTTCTGGGGTCGCGGCCAGCTCCTTCTCAACTTGGTAGGCCTCGGATACGGACTTAGCTCCAAAGGCCGAGCACAAGTCTTTCAATTCGACACCTCTTTGACCTTTGTCATGGGTCTGGGCGGGACGGGAACGGTCTCTGATTTCTGCCGCTGGGGTCACTTGAATCACTTTCCAGGCAGCAAATGCAGCGTCCCAAGACAGGCGCCAATCAACTGAGAGCTCTGCACCCCCCTCAAGACGCTGGCTGTGCTCGATTGCTCGATTGCTCGGCTGTGCTTGCGAATTACCACAAAGTGAAGAACGTATCAAGAAAAAACACATAAATGGCATAGCTGCTAAATGGCACAGCTGCTAAATGGCATAGCTGCCAAATTCGATGACGAGTCGATAAGCCTGTGTACCCCTCCCATCCTCGTAAAGAAGGCATGCAACTTTTGTTGATAGAGGCAAGCCCTAAAAAAATACTTTTAGGCCTAGGGCAGCTGTGATTTTCAATAGTCGTATGGGCCCCCTCCCCGGCAAAAAAAGGCCTCTCACATGTCACAAACAAATATATCATATCGGTATATACGGAATACCAAATAGATGAATAACGTGTGTGTGTGTGTATGTATATATATATATACATATGTATGTATATATATATAGACGCATGTGCGTTTGTTTAAAGGTTCCTGTTTTTGGGCGGTTTAAAAAGAAACCCGCCATGTTGGTGGGTTGAAGGGGACATCCAGTGACCATTTTTCTCTGAGATACGTGGCCTGGCTGCGGAAGCGCTATGCCTACCAGAGCCTTCGCTGGATTTGGGTGCCCAAAGGCGGGGGGCATCGAGTTTTGAGGGTGGCAGCAAAGGCTCTGGCTCGAAACGATTTACCTTCTATTTCCTTCAGGAAGTGAGAATTGGTAACTGCAAATTCCCTCGTTTTCAATCCTGGGGAACAGTGGGCCCAAAATTGGTCCGTCCTTTGTCAACATTCCAATGAAGGTGCGTGTTGTTTTGAGGGTTTCGTCAGGTTTGAGGGGAAGCGACTTGCACAAGTCTTGGGAACCGACGGCAAGGGAACCTGAATGTATTTGAAGGAAGACACCAGCAGAAACTCGTCCCAAAAAAAGACGTGCAAGCCCAATTGGCGCCATCTTTCTTCGCATTCACCCCGCCATTGCTCATTGCCCAGCATGCATGGACAAAATCTGGACAAAATCCAGTGGGGATGGACCTAGAAATACTTGGAGTTGGCTCTTTGCAAACTCTGATCGATCGTCAAGAGTAGAGCTCTTCTAAATCCACTAGAGGTACTAGGTTCTCCAGTAGTGCCCTTTTACCCTTTTTTGGGGGAGGGTTTTCGTCTACCAAATAGACTACAGAAGAAAAGGGTACCCTTATTCTAACCTCTCTAGTGGAGGACCTGGAGGTAACTAATGCCTGGAAGGGCGTGTCACAGCGTTTCGGACTTGGGACTTTGGAGATGCAGTTGAAGAACCAGCTTTTTGCTGGGGGTGCTGGATTCAGGGCCCGCGTTTGTCCCTTGTGCATTTTTGCCCAGGGAGTGTGGATAAGGGAAACATGGGCTGCAACCTTGCTCGACATCGGACGGCATGCTGCAGCTTGTGAGTGGTCCAAAGATGCGGCATGAAGTGCCGGCTGGGTTGGGCGATGTATAAAACGTCGTGTATGTGTGTGTGTGTCTCAAAATAGCGAACCCCTGAAGGATGGACACCGAAAAGGAAACCAGCCACCTCAGATAGGCTCCCTCCAAATTTGAGAGACCCCCCAGTCAAACTAGGGTGTCTTCCAAAGAGGAATATGACACACATGGAACAAGGGTCCAAGGGTTTCTCGACTTGGCCCA